TGATGCATCAGTATCATACATAGTAGCACGTCGGAAGCGCCCTGGCAAATGACAGCTTGTCTGTTCTGATTCCTTTTCAATGCCAGTGGGTACAGCAGTGAGATTGCCAGTCACTGGATGGTTGGAGGGTGGATCACCTTCAAACGGAAAAACCAACCCCGTAATAGAATGAACCACAGAGCGCGCCGTGAATTAAGTAAGCGTGCCTGTCTCCTATCTTCTGGTTGATCCTCTATGTTGTTTGGCGTATGAAAGATCCTAATCGGTAGAGTGAAGAAGAAGCTCAGAAATAGGGAAAAATTGAAGTAATGGCTATGGAAGGCAGTGTGTGAGTTCACTGGCTGGTTACTCAGGTTTGAATGGCAGTCTTCAAATGAGTGCCAACTGGGCTTGAAAAGTATGTAGGGTACATTAACCGGAAAAAGAGTGCAGAGCGTCCTACGAGTAAACAGCTTGTTCAAGCAAACGTTTTAGAGGACAAACTGAAAGTTGCTTCATTTCTTCGCCGGCTCGTTGATTTTTTTAAGTACTGTATTTTCATGCACTTGTATTCCATGTATGTGTGGTGGATAACATAAAAATTAAGAGAAATAGCATTCAACAATAGTAATTAGTATCCCGGTCTCAGGCTATGAAGGAGGAGGATCATTGGGGAAAATAAAATTGCTACTCAAAGTATGTACTCCTTGACGAGGACTAAAGAAAAGATAGGAATGAAGCGCGCGAGACGGAAAAAATTTGTGAGTCAAGGCTTCTCATGATCGGACACACTTCTCTTGATGGTTAACCCACTCTTCTCTATTTAAGCATAGTTAATGTCGGAAAGCCTTATTCCCAAAAGTTTGAAGCTTTGAAGCATTCACTAACTGAAGCAGCCATGCTTGCTGTTGCAAAAATAAATGATCGCAGAGCTGTGAAGACTCACCGGCTATCGTTGAACGCTACGTGCAACTTTGTTCGATCGTCATCGTCACGTTTCAGTTGAAAATTCTCCCACGTGGTGGTGCTGTAGGACAGAAGTCCAATCTGAACAATATCGCAAATAAATGAAATATCAGGGACGATAGTGAAGTACCCTGAACTAGCAATCGAATGTGGTGACTTTTCTCCATTTACGAGGAACACCCCACATCACCCGAAGTCAATGTTCACCATGATAACCGCGGCTACTCACGCAACGCGGCTGTGAGCTTGCCCGCAAGCCGTGTTTGGGGCAGACCTGATACTAGATTTTCGCAGTCGCCTACCGTCGATCAAGCCTCAGGGCATGCCTGGTGTCATGTGTCATAAGAATTTCGAAGAATAAGACCCAGAAAATGTAAGATTATGGTGGAATGGCGATCGCTGAGCGCGATGTGGCGAGATCTCCTTGTATGGTCGGGTTCAGGCTTATGCTGACCGCAAACACTGACATCAACACCCATATTAGGGCATCGCCGAGAAACAGCCGTTCTGCAAGTAGATCAACTCTTCATGTTCACCTACTTATTCCTTATGGCACTGAACTAACTACCGCCCACCTTCCTTCAACATCAAATTGCGATACACTTTACATATATAAATTGAAATCTTCCCTGTACCAAAGACAAATAATAAAGACACTAACTATCGAATCAAAATTTAACTTTTGAATTTATTCTTTCTTCAAACTCATTTGCAACAAAAATGTTTAGTAAAAGCACTATTGCAGTCCTTTTTTGTATCAACTAACGTTATTGAGTATCTACACCGAGTGCTTAAGGGCTTTCGTTCGTACAGAAGGAAAATGCTCCGCCTCTCCTAGACCGTCCGATGAAGAACAGCTAGTGACTGTCGTAATGAATCGTCAATAATAAAACAAAATGAATTCTTCTTTGAAATCGTATCGTCACTAGTGAGTTATGTTATGTCAAGTAGAGACTGTGGTGTGGGGATCAGTGTGGAATCCATTAATAAATAAATGATGACATGCCTTAAAATGTTCGGAACGAAATCTGGTGGGATTACATTGCAACAATAACTGGTGGTCCAAACGTAAAGAAAACCAAAGTGAGATAAGAAGGAAAACAAAGCCTGAAATTGCCCTAATCGAGATTCAAGCAAATACGCATAGACCAAATGAAATCCTTCTTAAAACAAACCTGAATTTGCTCTAATCGATTCAACAAATATCGCATAGCCCAATAAATTCCTTGTTCTTGCCAGTGAGTTATGAGTAAGGCACGAATAACGGCAACGTCCAGGACGGTTGCCACCTAAACAGATCTTCAGCTTTTACGATCTTTTCATTCTTTTCGAAGACTTTTTGCAAGCTTTGAGTCTCATCCAAAGGGTGGGAGGGGGCACATGGTGCGGCAGTTGCTGCCAATTACAGAGCTTCCAATTCTGTGGAGACAAAATTCTCCCGATCTCCTTTCTCCGCGAAAATTTAGATTGTGTTAGGCAATATGAACTGTCGCACCACATGCTCTACCCCTTCCCCTGTTTCAGCGGAACCAAGCTCTCCTAACGGTGTTTTATCATAGGTCGAAAAGAAAAGAGGGCTCTAACAAAGATCACCTAAGTGGCTTTTAGAACCAAGTCCGAGGCACAACGCTACCCTTAGTAGGTCATTAATAAAACATTTTCTTGATGCATGAAAAGTTTAATGGACAGCAAGCTTGAGATCACAGTTCTAGAAATGTTTAATGAGCTAATGTAAAAACACATCTCAACAACGTCTCAGCAGCGTCTTCGGGGAACCCTCATGAAACTAAGGCACAAATTTTTCGCTCTTGTTTCTTGTTTTGAAATATCAAATTTGATTCGAGATAAAACTATTGAAGGTGTCGACGGTTCTCAGCAAGCCACATGCTTTCAAAGGATTTTGCTTATTCATCTTTCACCTACAAATGGAGGCGATTGACTGGAACATGATTCTATCCATTAAATATGTAAAGAAAGCATAAAAACCAGCATCTAGTCCCCTCAATGATTTCATGGCTGAGCATTTTAGAGGTAAAGTGGATAACTCACCATCGGATCCGGTTGACAGCTATCTTCCAGGTCATCGTCAGTACTTCCAGTAACATCTGCTGTTCTGAACGATGTTGACGGTCCCGAACCAGATACTGGAATCAGGATTTTACAGCACTCGGATTTTAAATGAGGCGAGGAATACATTTTGCTGCCCCGGGTGATCGTATCTATTTCCAGGATTTTAATAAGCTTCCAGAAATTGGATGTTGAAACTAGAAAAGTCAACAAAGCGACAACCAAACCCACCAGGTTGAACACGAGCTGTTTCCGCTGTGTGATATGATGTCGACCAGTTCTGATGGCTTTGGAGGAGGTCGAGCTGGAATCACTGTGTGTTGGCTGGATGACGATGCGGTATCGTCGGCAGTAGACGCTGTAAATTAACCGTATCGAATTAGCGCTGACCAATTAGAGTTGGCTTTGTGACTACCGTACCTCTTGTGAGAACAACAGGTGGCGTGTCCCGTGGAACGACGTTCAACGTGCCGGCTTCTTTGCATTGGCAGCCACTCGGTCGTAACCGATCACGAAAAATCGGCTTTTATGACAAAGATCGCAGATCACCTTAAATATCGTATCGAATTACCAAAGTATTAGATTTGACCATGAAAACAAAGAATATGTGAACGGTCGCTGAAAAAAGTGCACGAGTTTTGCTGTGTCCGAAATCTTTATTACTTTATTAGCATTTTCACTTGCTGGATACCCAAGGGCGCTTATATGCATATGGTATGGATAGTTACTGCATATCAACAGCAAAGATTTAGTCGCTGTATTTTCAAGCACAGAGCAAATGGACGACATAAAAGAAACGCATATATGGGGTCAGCGCTGTGTGGAAAACTTTTCTGTGTTGTTTTTTTTGATATTTTCCAAATTTAGACAAACTGTAGGACAGTTGTAAAAATAGCACAAAATATTCATGCCTTTAATTCAGGAATATTATAATGCACTTTTTTAAACGCCTGTCCAATCAAAATAGGTCAAACCTCAACGCTGGTGGATTCGTAGCCGTTTTCACTGGTTTCTAATGAGTAACCGCTACAAATATCATGGAGATTCACCAGTGGAGCATCACTAGGGCAAAATACGCCGGACAAGTGAGTTGTTATCCTGAAGATAAGATAATTGGAAAACTTTAAAAAGGAATGAAGTAAGTAAAACAGATGTGGGCCTAAGATGATGATGTAGTCATAACCCATGTCTACCTCGGTAAACTTCAACGCTGTGTCGACTTCATCTAACATCTGTAAGGAGCTCTCGGAGGCTGAAAATGGGACTGCTTGGTGAGCTAAGGGGTGAAAATAACAAATAATATCACTGATAAATAAATGAACAGAGTACGGAAAGACCAACAACATATGGACTAACTAGGACTCATATCGAAGGCGTTGGTTGTATTGCTCTTAGCTATTCGATCCCGGGCTTGATTCATCGATTCACCGGTTTTGTATTCACTAACACTTCGAACTATACATGGGGCACTTGTTGAAGGTGATGGTAACTGATCGTGAACGTCCGTCAGCGGTTGCGAAGTCGAGGGTTGCCTGAAAGGAAATCAATACATCATAGTCTTAGGAAGTATTGAGGTTCTGGCATGTGTAGGGTTTGTTATAGCCTGTCCAAGATTACAGTGCTTTTTACTACAATAGGTTCACGTTTCGGCCTCTTCGCCTTCGTCAGAGCCTGAAAAATCGTAAAGCAATTGAGACCGATCCTTTCGCGGGCCAGACTTCGGAGAAAGGTGTCCTTTTTAATCGTTTCATTGTTGTTGTTTCTATCAGAAACCCTCTGCACTATGTTGTAACATTTCCTCTATGTGTGTCCCAAATATCACAGACCTAGGTTAGCTAGAAGTTAGAAATCATGCGAAAGTTACTCTCGTCCTTAAAGCCACGAGTCGGGATTAGATTCCAAAGAGTCCCTTATTGAGGCGAGAGGGGTCAGGAGAGGACGACAGAGTGCGCGACTCAATGCGACAGAGCAAAGGGCCTTTGCCTTGTGTGTTCTGCGTCGCTGCGAGCGTTATCAACGACGGAATAGGTAGTTTCTGGTTCTTGTTACGGCGCGACTATTCTGCGTTGCCTTCTCGCAGCGCGTTGTCTCTCCGTCGTATAGCCGGGCGTTCTGAGGACTATCTAGGTTTATATGGTGCGTTTTGCTTTTTCACCTCTACGAGAGTTGCATTATTGCCACATTGCTAATGTTTGAACAAAAGACAAGCAAATCAGCCGACTCGTCTTTAGCCTCTGAGACCAGGGTATTGGTCTCTTCGTACATAATTCAGTAAGACCCAACACTTTGGAAGATCGGCTCACGATGCCCACTTTCAGGCACGAAAGTGTGCATACACGCTTGTCACCTGTATACTCAACAAGGATAATAGACAAGTGAGTGTTGCAATAACTGAGCGTGCCTTTAATGCTGTCAATTAACGCATGCTTCACATCCATTCTAGTGGTATTAACCACTAGAATGGATGTGAAGCAGAGTAGGGATAAATTGTTCAATGTCGTGAGATGCCCTCCCCTCCAGATTACCACTTTAGGGAGCGGTGGAGAATTCTAATATCTGCACATTTGCCTGCTACGGCTGACTGGCAGATGCTTTCGTTCATAGACCACCCAAGTGGCAGCAACGCAATTTTGCCGTGAATCACTTCTACGACGAGAGCAAAGTGTCTCTGCGAAATATTCTGTGAACGATGAATTAAGAAAATGGAAATTGAAAAATAGTTCTCAAGGAACGAAGCAACTGAACAGAATGACCAGCGCTATCGCAAGGTGCAGGGGCATCCTTCGGCAACCCTCTAAGAATAAAAGCATCAAGGGAAAACAAAAATTGCTCGAGTCTGTTCCCCCGACAAAGCTTGATCTCGATTTTAGGAAAGTTCCAACGCATACCCCAATGATCTTGTATGTGAGATAGGCCAATGGTCCTTTCTTATATGGACAACAAAGCTAATAATCATTTGGAGGACATATTGATGATAGGGCGTTTGTATACGAAATCTATGGACTGAGTCGAAAGGATAGCTCCAGACATCGGAACTTGTGGCCTTTACAATTAGCTCTAGTAAAGAGCTGGATGTTGTTTTAGTTTCTAGACAGGAGTGCAGTGGACAAACGTTTAGCGTCAACAATACATTTGCCACCTATTGACTTTAATCGTCATTGTAAGATCAACGTTTAAATTTTCGTGAGGATTTAATATAATGAAATATTGATTTCGCGTATTGATTTGCAAAAATGGCAGTATTTGAAGTCTACAATGAAACTTCGTATAACTCCTTCGGCATTAGAAAACTACGAGTTGTATCAGGCCATCTTTTTGTACAGTATCAACAAACGAACTCTAGCAACGTAGCCGCGCTCCCGTTCCCGGTACATTCGGCTTTCCGCTCCTTTTCGCGTTGTTTCTCGAGCTCACGTCGGCGTTTCTCGTCCAGAACGGCTCGATCAGTTCGTGGTGGTTTCGGTGGCGGAACAATTGATAACCGGCGAGGTTTCTCCTCTTCTCCTAGAAGCTCACAGTTTTCTACCGATAATGAGCTACAATGCTACAACCGTTGCAAACTGGTAACCGTATTTTTTTCAATCGGAACTGTGTAAGTAAACCGTACCCAAGTAGATTCCTTGACTTTGGGGGATCGATGTGGCGGTTGGCCGTCGTAGGAACATCACTTGAGGGAGCTCATCTCGCCGTGGCTTGACCGGTGCTGTGAAACACCATACGTCCGGTTGACGGTACTGGAAACAACAAGATCAAGATCAAGTCACAGAAATGGCAGCGAACCATAATAGTTCAGTTCAACACGTCCTCATAGAGGGTCAGGTGATGGAGTACACAGAACAGCGTGCTCCGTTGACCTACGAAAGCCGACTAACGAAAGTTCTAAGGAGATGGGATCAGCATGACTGCAGGATTGCACGTGACCACTTCACCTATCCAGTCTTTTTGTGCTGTGTAAACTATAATTTTTCAGCATAAATGGTGCCACCCAAAAGATCTCGAAAAAAACATAGATAAGAGTTTATGGAAGCGGTCAGTAGTGTTTGCAGTGTATAAGGAGCAAACAGCTATGTACAGTATATCTAAAAGTGTAGGTGTAAGCTTGGATTGCCCCCTGACTCCTGTAAGGGTCGAATCCTGTCCATCTCTTAATTCAAGAGCTCTAATGCTTACTAGAGCGTCCTCGTAACGACTTTGTACCATGCAAGAACAATTCAAGTTTTTGTGTTCCAAATTTTAGCTAGATAACATTACTGTTTACGATAGGGCCTCAACGATGGCGCAGTTTACTCTAGAGAAATTTGCGGTTTACTCAAGAGAAATTTTACTCTTCTTATCTGACCAAACTCAAATTTAACACGTTGCTGACCGTGTGATATGATGTCATACCACACTTTCGCATGGGGCAGCCTAGTTTTCCTCAAATCTATTTGGCGTTTTCTCCTGTTCCACAACGCTCCACAACGATCCATTGTACATTATTAAATTCGAAAAACTATATCTTCATTATAGATAACGAAAACGCTGAATGATTGATACCTATTGATGAGGAAGTACGAAAAATGTTGAAATAGTAGTAGTATATTAATAGACAACGCACAACGGCGTCGTCAAACTGTTCAACATGAAAGCCTCTGGTCAATCCCACCCCAGAGTTCCACCCCACTGCGAACAATTCGGCAGAGTGGAACACTCAAAGAATCTCATTTAAGAAATTTGGTAGAGTACCAAACGATCTACCAACGTGTCTTGATGTCGCAAAAGTGGCTGAATGAAACTACCCGAGGGAATGTGGCAAGATCACCATTGTTGTTGCTGTTATAAATTCTGTTGAGTATATCGTTAAAAATGTCTGAATACCGATGTGAACCTGCATTTTTGTGACACCATATTTTTCCGAAAAAAATGCAAAAAGTCTGCGCATGTATCATAATCCCTTTTTAAATTCTTCCATATTGCATCAACACAGCTCCCATGAGGTACTGCTGGAGGTAAGCTTCTCCTACGTCAATCTTCAACCTTATTGTGGTATCCTCCTTTGAAGAGACGTAAAAATAGCGGCTACCGGGAGAAATAGTTGTTTTGTTGAAAAAACAAAGCGCAAACGCAAGGATATCATATGCATAAAATACACGAAATTAAAATGCTACTCCAAATAAACAGCGAAAAAGCTGAGTCACCCTCACCTGCCAGAGAGCTTGCCAAATTTTCAGACCACTCTCAAGTCGTATATTGCTAGCTATATCCTCTTCCGATACCATATCGGCTAATGGAGCAATCAAATAAACAAATAATTGTATAGATGAAATCGAAAAAAGGCCTTGTCCACGCATATGTTGCACTGGCTCGTCCTAAAATCACAGGTAAGAAATCTGAATAACGCCAAGTTGCTGGCGAGCACCGCTCTATGACGAACCTTTGGCGAGTTTCTCTGCGCATTCTGCAGCCGAGTCTAGCAGCATCCAGTGAAGTATGTACAGGATTTTTTGCAGCGATGTCGACAATCCTCCGCGCTTTCCAGAAGTGATCCACAACACTAAAAGAGTTCAAGGAAAGAATTATGAAGAAAAAAGCAAACACCGAAAATAATTTTAAACAATATGAGCGTTTTTTCGAATCAAGTCCCTTTATTTGAGCTATATAGTTGATGTATTCAAAATCCTGCAAACGCTTCAATGCGTTTCCAGCCTGACGAGAACTTGAAGGCAGTGGTCACGATGGCTGGAAGGCGGTTTCTACTACATTATAGGGGTCATTGGCATAAAGGCCGTGAGCGGTGGTCCCAACTACAAACCGGCGTGATGACGGTCTGCTCCACCAGGGACGTCCAATGACGCCACCGAAGCTGCTCCACCCTCCGGCCATGTGCCATCGTATCCACTGTCTTCAAGGGGCCATTAGATGCGCGAATTGCCTGTATCTGAGTGGTTTGGCACCCAAACCTAAAGCGAGGACCAGCGCGTCGCCCAGGGTGGAATCCGTCCACGAACACTGCGGAAAACGGGCTGGTCGACGATACAATGTATGTACCCAAGCGAGCTATCACAGTGAGCGTATTTTATTGTGGCCACCCACGTTGGCGAAAATTTTCTTCCTCATCTCTTGAATATTCGTCCAGTTGAATGTGATATATTTCGGAGAATGCTTAGAAGCTCACGTTCCAATGTGCATTTTATGGATGTTGAGAAAGCGAAGATACTAGTCTGATTTATCGTCAGACACAGAAATCCCCACACTCACCTCCGCCTTCCTCTTAGCCCCTTTCTCGCCTGAGAATTACTACTTGCTCCTGTGCATGAAATATGATGAACGATGAGGACATTTCATGAAAAATTCATTAATAACTGCATTTTGGACTCCTTCAATGGAGAGATATTGAAATTGGATTTAAGGGCAACGCAGCTTTGTGCACCACCCTCTCTGCTTCCTGCTGTTGTTGCAGACAAAGACGAAAAGTTTGTGACCACGACATATGGCTCACAAAGCCATCAAGTAGCATGCATACACACATTTTAAGCCATCGGATAAGTTGGCGTGGATTTCCTTGTTTTCTACAATCGCCAAAAAATGAATAAAAATAATGTTATGCGCCATTAGTTAGCACCCTTATTCCTCTGTCGACTGTGTACAGCGCCGCGACACGTGCACTTTTTGATATTTCATAACAAAGTGTCACAGATTGGCACCGCAAGTCAATAAAACGGACATTCCCACAACTTTCTACTTTTTATCAGACTAGAGCCTGTGCAGGGTCGGTCCTATCGTTGCTACTTTTCAAAAAGTTTTTACGACCCCCCTCCCTCATGAAATGTTTCATACGACCCCCTCTTTCAAACAATTTTTACCCCAAAAAATTACCGTCGAGCGGGGGGGGTATATACGCGCGCTGAAACGGCAAATTTTCTCCCGCGCCGCTCCCCACTCATCACATGCAACTTCTTACAACCGAAGCAAGTACGACCCCCCTCTACAAACTCATCAAAATACGACCCCCCGTTGCTACTTGTAGCAACATAGGGTTGACCCTGAGCCTGTGACAGCCTGTATGTCCTGCCAAAGACGTTTGTTCTTGAATGATGGCAGCCCATTTTGGCTGCCGGCTGATAATTGCTTGCCTATCGCTCATATCGTAATTTTTGGGCATTTTTCGATATCAACAAACTAAACCAATCAGGGACTATTAAGTGACTAACGACAGACTCCATCGGAAACGTAAGCCCTTTCACAAACTCACTAAGTCTACTACTCCTTGATCGCACGTACCAACCCCTCTACACCTCCCCCTAGTGGCCCTAAAGACCAACACCAGGGTGAATATCGGTCGAGGAAATCCTCGACAGGGGGGTCGTACCTGTCGGGCTGGGTCATGGGGGGTCGTACTCTTGGGGGTCAGTAACAGCAGTGGTATCGTGGTGCAGATAGGTAAGAGGGTATAGCGCAGCAGAAAATGAAAACATCTGAAAAAAAACATGATATTAAATTTTCTTTGCAGGTTCAGTCGCTCCATTCCTCCACCTTCATGAGAAGGGCGTATTTGAAGGCAGTACAAAGAATGAAAGTGCATCCCCGCAAAGAAGAGTGCCACATGTGCGCACGCGCCGTCGGCCACTGTGCCGCTGAGTTCGCTCTCGTGCTTGCCCTGTGTGCTGCCACACGTGCGGCACGCCTGCAAAGGCACCTCCTCTGCCTATCGCTCGCTCCTTCTCCCTTAATACCTCGCTGAGAATGACACTGTTGTTAGGGACCCTGTCGCAAAAACGACAACCGTGAAGGAAAAGCCCTGGGCAAATGAAGTTGTTCTTTAGGTTGTAGGAGTTACGAAATGCGTTTACTACAATGCAGCTTCTGTCAACTGGTCATGATCATATGACACCTTCGAATCGATTCTGCAACTGTGAGGACGGATGCATGGCTTATACCAATACGAAATCGGATGATGACGATTGCCCCTATTCCTATTGCTTGCGTTGAAAGATTTTGTTCTAGACACATTCCGAGTGTTGCCAACGAATCACACTTGCAATAGTGAAGGAGGGAGCGGATTTTCAGGTGGCCGGATCCGTCCTCGATACATACTCGACGCAGATATCTTCTCAACTAGGGAATGTAGAAGAAAGCTAAGAAGACCATCAGAAAGCGCAAACCTTCCGCTTTCCAAAACTGTCTTCCCTTTTTCAGGATCTGCGGCATTAGCGAGATATTGCTTTTGAAGTGGCAAAAACTCACGCAAAAATTTCAGCGTCCTCGACGTTTACTCGACAAAATTTGAGAGACCCTATCTTTCTGCATGGAAGACTTTCAGAGCAATTTCAATACTTCTTGGAAACGCGAAATCCAGCTCTATCTAACCCTACCTCAAACTGCTTCAAAGGTTATGAAATGGAGGAATGCAACCTTTTCATCGAGGGTGTAGATTTCGACGGTTTTTTTCGGAAATTTCAGCAAATCTGACCCAGTGACAATCGCGCCGCAGCTGCCGTTGAATCGGCCGTTGATTGATACACTCGGCTGTTTCGATATACTCAAGCAGGAATAAGATTAAATCGCAACCCCGTGCCTTCAGGATTTCTGTGCATTTCTGAACGAACCTGACTTTGAGGTCACACACAAAGTTAATGCCTCTTTCCTCGAGTCGATATTTCAGTAAATACACAAAAGTGTGCAGCGATGAAAGACAGTGCATAGATGACAAGATGATGCGTCCATAACATTATTTTGCAGGACTTTTTTTGATTTAATTTGCAGGATTTTTTCTTTATTTATTTTGCAGGATTTTTTGATTTTGATTTTATTAATTGAATTAATTTGCTCTGTTAGGGGGTCGTGCCAGGATCTCGATTTCGGGGGGGGGGGTCGTACCTCTGCGACCACGTACTCGACACGATTTTCACCCTGCTTCAAAGTAACCGGAAATTTCTTCGATCGGCGTGATCGAACTTTTACGTAACAACCATAAGGAAGAGGGATGAACTTTTTACGTTCACGCTGCCCTCTCGATCGCTACTACCGGAACCCGTAACGTAATATAGGCTAGTACATTTAGTGATTTACCAGATCACTGGATCACTGGATCGCTGCTGCTTTTCAGGGGGATTCAGTCCTTTCTTTGCAAGCCGCGCTACCGCTTCTTGGGAATTGGGGGCTTCGGCTGAGTGAACGTGCTCGCGGGCTTCTTCGCCTGCCGGCCTCCTCGGCTCCTCGACGAAGCCTACCTTGAGTGGCTTCTTGATTACCGCTGGCTTCATTCCTGTCGACGCAGGTCCCTTCTCACCTCCTGCAACGCTGCCCACAGCGCTCGGCCTCATCGTCAGCGCTGCGGGCTACGCTGCGACCTCCCTGCAGTCGTCGGCTATGGGCCCCCACCACCAGCCCTACCGCCATGCAGCCAGTCTTCACTGGGACCACGCCACAAAAATTGGGGGCGCGACTGTGGGTTCGAGTGGCCCTCCCCCGACGAGGATCAGCATCGGCGATTGCTGCTGCTGGCTCGCAGAGAACACATTTGAGTACATACTCTGGCTCGCAGAGAACACATTTGAGTACATACTCCTGCGGGCCCCTTTTACAGGACCTCGCGGCATATCTTTTTTTGCTTTTCTCCTCCTGATCACTTATTTCTATCCTACTGATCTTCCTGCGATTCCCGTCTTCTCGATACACTTCCATTCTAGAGGTTTCCCGCTTATTCCACTCCGACCGCCGCAATATCGACTCTCCGGTTAATTCTCACTTTTCCTTAGAAGTCCTATTTTCCACCTTCCTTAGCAGATCCTCAAATCCCACGGGGGCACCTTCTCCTTTATTTGATCGACGTGAGTTTTTCTTACCCCCTGCTGATGAACCTCACAGGCGCTTTCCCAAGGTTTTAGCGACAATACCGGTTATGCACCAATCTCCTGATCCGGTAGAATTTCTATGAAATTTTCTTGCCCGACTTCAAATCGTTGTTCTCTTTTCCCTTGAACATAATTTTTTTCATCCTTTTCACGGTATATATTAGACGGCAATGCACTACTTTTGCCCTTTTCATATCCAGGATGGTTCTCATAGCTCTTTCCACATCAGCGTTTCTCGCCAGGTTGGTGTTGTGCACAACAAGTCTACAGTGAGGAATCGCATATTGCTGACAGCAAGCCCCTTTATACTCTCACACAAGTCTGCGTTCTCCTTCATATCTCTTCCTCAGTCTTTCACATTTGCACGTCCCCTCTACAGTAATATGCAAGGGTAACGGAGATTCAAATACGGGTGTGGAAGCCAGATATATAAGTGGAGTTCACGTATTGGAATTCGCTAGATAAGAACTGTTCAAAAACGTTCTTCCCGGTTCAAG